GACGATCAACTCGTTGAATGGTAATAACAACGAGTACGGCGGAAAATGCGTATCAACGATGACAAACCCAGCGCCGACAAACCCAGAACACCGATTTTCGGGAGGGAAGTAATATTGCCCACCGATCTTTGCGACGGCTTCTCGTATGTCCCACTCACAGACTCGCGTCCTGTCCTCGTTATACGGGAAGGGGCGGAGAGGGGATACGGGAGGCTGGCGCCTAGTCGGGTTGAGCCCGTTAGTCCACACGGCAAATAATCAGGAATATTTTAACCATCCATCGCATGCATGCAATCCTAGCAATCCAATCGGAAAGGTCAGAAAGGGAAAACAAAGGGTTCGGGGAGAGAGAAAGGAAAGCTCATGTTTGGTGAGACGCGACCGCTATTTCGCGCTCGCAACACTCCTCGATGGTCACAGATCAAACTACTCTTACATTTCCGAACAAAATCCCAACAACATTGCTCCTGCCATCAATTCGTCCTGACAATATCTTAATCAAGATGGGTTTCGTACTCGTTCATTCCCATTCCTCATACATACATTCACTGTGGAAGGTGCGAAAATGACAACCATGCGATTCCCCTACAAGGTGGCGTTAAGGGGAAAAAAATCCTTAATGGTTGATACACGTGCATCCACCGTTCACAAGACAAACTCACTAGATCTGGGGACTACCCAGGAAACTAATGGAAGAGTTATGGAAGAGGTTAGTTCCAAGCACACAATTACCATGCTCATTCCATCACAAGCCAAAATCATTCACACTAGCGAAAGGAAGAGGCGGAGAGAAGGAAGGAGACAAAGGTAGGCGGGGATATCAAGATCGGGGGGGGGGGGGGGGGAAGAGTTATACTGAGATCCTGGAAAGGCAAAGAAGGTCCGGCTTTACCACCGCAAAATCACACCAAAGAATAGATTCGCAACCAAGAGGGCGTACTTGCCACCAAATTCCAACCTGGCCCCGGGCCAGTCATCCACTCAACTCAGATCACCTGTCCGCATTCTGACACCGACGATCCGGGCCGTCGTGTGTCATCCTCCACCACTGCGATCGTCAGCCCGCCAACTTAGTCTCGACGTGGCTTGCCTGGATCCCACAGTCCGTCGTGGCGATCGAGCGTACCGCCATCCAGTCTACAGTCAGCTCGTCAGGACTTTCCGACTCGCACCGTACACATCACCTAGCCACTACTTCCGGGAAGCTGGCCGATGAGTTGAGAGAGAGTTTTGCGGGGGCGCCGGCGGAGTTTATAGCTGCGAGAAGGGAGAGAGACGCGGAGAAAGGCGAAGGGTGAGGCAGAGGAGGGTATAGGAGAGTTTGAGAGTGACCGCCCGTCGAAAGCCATGTTGATCCCTCCTAACTCGACCTCAACCAATCAGAATCGTCGCGCAGTAAGAACTTACACGGCACTTCTCCTTGGCTAGATGGGGAGAGAGGATCGACTGGGTTTTCGAGCGCGGATCTTAGAGCGGGAAGAAGAAGAGCGCGAAGGATAGCGCGAAATGGGTCCAAGATTCAGATGATCAAGAAGGAGAAAAAGGGCGCGCGCTGAGAAGGGGAGGGAAAAGCAGTTACAGGGGGAGGGAACGAGAAAGCGTGTGCGCGCGAAGAAGGACGGTGAGAGGAGCGCGGTGAGGAAGGAGGAGGGAGCTTGCGTGCATGGCGCCGATCGGCAAAAGGGGAATGGGCACCAAAACAGTTGCAATTTTTTCCAATCCTATGCTAATTCAAAAATTGGAAACACCATATCCGCGCGGAAAACAGGCGCGGGAAAGAAAGTCTTTCGCCCATCCATATTCCTACAAGAATTCCCAGAGTCTTCAAGGTCGAGGCCGAGAACATCCGCCGCGGAAGGTCGCGCGGCATTCCTTTAATTCCGGGATTTCTAACTGCCGAGCCAAATTCCAAGCGCACTCGTTAAGGCGCGCGGAATTCCCAAGCCTTTTCAATCAAAAAAAAAAAAAAAAAAAAAA